ACTCAATTCTAAGCTCTTTAAGTTCAGTCGGTATTGGTGTAACTGACAATATTCCTTCTAATAATTAGTGTGCTAGACACAAACTTGATATATTCTTGTCAAATTAATGAGTCATTATTTTCATTTGTGATTTTCAAATAGAGTCATCTTTTACCATTCTGTTAATTCAAAAGTTACCCAAAAACTGCATTTGACTACAGTTGGGGGTGGGGTGGGGTATGTTTGTTTGTGTGTGTGTGTAGGGGGGGGGGAGGTGTTCTACAATTATTTGCACTAGGAAATTTCACTGAGAGAAAGGAAAAATATCTCTAATATTCAACAATGTGAGCTTTGTATAACCGTTTCAGTACATTTCCCTCATGGTTATCGCTACGGTCATCCATTGAAATAATAATCCTTATCATCTATTTATTTTACCAATAAAAATGGGAGAAAATAATTAAGATGCGTATGGGAATCTATTCACCAAACCATCCACTGCACACACGTACCTTTGAAAAGGCGCCAACCATTATAGCTACCTTTCTGCTAGCTCAAGAATGATTGTCCAACGGGGCCTCCTACTAATTCTATCACTGTCCCTCAAACAACAATTTTCTTGGTTATTCCCTTTTGGATAATGTTTTAGAAATGTCTCCTAAAAGTGGGAGAAAATTACCATTATTTAGATGCCTGCCAAAATCACTCCGGAAGTCCGGAGTTTTATTCAGTACTCATTACCATGGATTGTCTCAAAATTGCCTCGATCAGTATCAATAGGTGACGTGAATGCAGCCTCTAGCTCACCTCCAAGTACTCCATCGACGCAATTTCAGTTACTCGATTTTTAAGGATCTATCTATATGTTACCCGTGTGAGCTGTCACTCAATTTTTTGTCTCCTTCGATGCTCGCCGCCGCCGAGTGTCCACCGTCCTGCTGCAGTGCGGTAGGGTCTCACCGGAGCTCCGCCGACGCGGGGTGGAGCTCCGGCGATACCCTACCGCGCCCGTGGCGGCCTCCCTCTTCCCCTCTCCACCTCTCGCCGCCGCTTTCTTCTCCAACTCCAGTGAGAACGGCTACGATGCCTCCGCCCTGATCTGATCTGGCCGCCTCCAATGCCGCCAGGACCCAAAGCCGCCCACCTCCATGCCCATCGCCTGGCCGGCCTGCCTCCCTCGGAATCCTTCTATGTCCGCCGGATTTTGAGAAGAAAGAGGGGGAGAGGCCGGATTTGGAGAAAAGAAAATTCTAGTGATAGATTTGGCCAAATCACATGAGTGAGCTTTAGCTTTTACCATTTTTAAACATGCATGGACCCACGATGCTGTGAATAACTTTGCTGTTTTTTTTAGATAATGAATAACTTTGTTGTTTATATATACTATCTTGAACAATTTGGTGCCGACAACGGACCATATGTCGTCTTTGCCTGGCTTATTTTCTGAGCTGATGAAATCTCATACTAGTCTCTCTCTTTCTTGAAGCTGAACGAGCAGAAAGGGCCGGCCGGGACAGTGGTGTGTGCGTGTGTCGTACAACCATGCATGCAAGTCGTACAAATTAGGTTAACGAACAAATTGAACCAGCACCTAGAAGCGCCGCGCTAAAAAAATCCAAAAGAAATCCTGGACGTTTTCGTACTGAAGATACGTACTACCAGTGAAAATGACTAGTTCCAGGACTGAAATGTCACACTATTGTGAGCCACACTGCAAACAAACATTCCTTTTCAGAGTGAGCCACGCCATGCATACATGCATTGGAAACATTATTATTGGAAACCTTGAAATGTAAGGAACATAACGAAAATGAGCATGACGTGCAAATTAAATAGGCGCTGTCCAAGTGACGTGCAACGAATCCGTTCTGTTAGCATTTCCATCCAAGCCAAATCGATCAATTCCAAGCAATCCGTAATCAAATCTTTGAGTTTGCTTTTTATCAGGAAACAGCTCAGCTTAATGGGTTGGGTGGGAGCTGTGGTCGGTTTGGAACTGAGCTCAGCTTAACTGGTTGGGTAGGATGTGTGGTCGTGCACCTAACCTCCCAGGGTTAAGTCCTCTCTCTCAGCTTGAATTTAGGTGCATATTTTCTCTTCTTAATGAAAGAACGCCTCTTTCGGCTTGAATTTAGGTGCTCCTTTGTCTATTTTGTCTTCTTAATGGAAAATCGTTTCTCTCTGCTTCAATTTGGGTGGTTAATTATTTTCTCTTTTCAATGAAAACTGCCTAGCTCTTTGTAGGTTGGGTCTCTTTCTTTTTTTGTTCTAATGAGGATGGAAATAAAAGAAATGGCTTGGCCATGCATATGCATGTTTTTGTCAGTGGGTTAATTTTGTAGTGATCGCAACTTTTCATTATCAAAAACCCAGTTATGTTCATTTTTGTAATGTTAAGAAGATATGATTAATTTGGTGTGACTTGAGACGGCACACACATGTGGCTGCCTAGTGGGGTTTCCGGAGATTAATTTTTTGGCCAAAATTTGCAATTTCTAGACAACAATTTATAGAGGCGGCTGAAGACCCACCTCGTTGATTTGTAGAGACAGAAGAGCATAGGCGCCTGGACCAACTGCCTATAAAAATGAAATTTGTAGTAGTGTTATCTTATAAAATATATTAATAACTTCATGAATCTATTCCATCTTACAAATATATTCTAACAGAAAACAGTAATATAATGCAGACACTGGTACCCGATAGAATACCAAAATTCACCTTAATTAGTCCTCTTAATCATGCTAGCGACGTAACACTTTGTTCTCGGAAGAGTCATGCGAGCACCAAAAATTGAAGGAAAAAAAGGCTCCACTCTACAAATTTATCACCTACCATACGTTCAAAATAGGCTCACACAATCTTCAATGATATATGCATGTTTCTTTTGAAAAAGAGATTAGGTCTACATATAGGACAATTAATGATCAGTAACCTTGCGTCCGGATGCTACACACATATAGCATGAGAGATGAGTAAAAGAAAAGAAGAATTGAAGATGAGCCATAGCAATCATGCAAAGAGAACCTGTCTGTTGGCTTGGCAATGTTAAGGTTGTTACAAGTGTCAAGCCGAAGTGGCTTGCATAGCATGCTCCAGCCTCCAAGTCTGTGTGTGACCATGGCCTCTTTCTGCAGCCAGGAAGTTTCATATGCTTCATGCGTGCTTATTCATGCCTGACGCTCACACTGAGTCACTTTGCTGTGTCGACAAGATGCCTAACAATAACGAACTTTAGAGAGTGAGTAGTGACAGCAAACTAGTCATCAGCTGTCAATATTATGCTTGGCTGTAAATCATTATTTTGTCACCTATTTATTTTCTGTTCTTGGACAAAGATTTGAATTCAACTAGAAAACTGCAGGTACAATAATATACAGTGATAAATACATTTCCAACTTATATATATATAAATGGTGTGTAACGTTTTCTCAAAAAAAGTTTTTTCACTTTCATGAGCTATATATAGATGATGAGGACCATTTAGTCATTTGACTGTGAATAGTTAAGAAAAATCATCTTCCAAATAGACAAAACCTCATGATGATTGATGCCAATTTACAATATCGTTAAGAGATGAAGTCACATATCAAGGTAGTGCATGCATCGGACATCAGTCACACTCTGAACAACTTATATTCAAATCTTGAAACACAAGGAAGATAACAGAAATGAGTGCGACATGAAAATCGACTGATGAAATGACAGGCAAGATCGTTCTGTTAGCCTTTCCATTCATGCCAAATCTTCCAAGTAGAAGCAACTTATTGAAGTATGGAACTAATCTTAATAAGCTTGTCATGCAAAGAATAATAGAAGCAGTATATTGTTTATCTGAATTAGTTCCATGTTCCATATCTCTATCTGGAAACTTGCAATTATTGTTTTGGTAACAAATCTCAAAACAGAAGTACACTCTTCCCTTGATAATAGGTGGTTTTGAGACTAAATGCTAGTATGCTACTGATAATGACAAATAAAGGCTAGCACTTCACTTCTTTTGTCGTTAGTTATAGATAGTAGAATGGGGCTGAAACTTAAGTTGAGTGCAAGTACTAAGTTGTAGATCCAAGAAATTCTAGGTCTAATCTTATTAGCTAGCCTTCCCTTACAGAGCATAGATAGAGAGAGTTAGCTTAATTAATCTTTCTGGCAGAAACGCTAGCTATGCAGCAGCTATAGCTTGAATATATAGCACGTAGTGTCATCAGTTACCAGTAAGTAACTCTAACTCATGTTATTGTGCTCATCATCAGATGCCAAAAAAACATATAGCACACAAGATCGAGAATATGCCAAAAAGATGACGCGTAACAATCATGCGTGCAAGTGCGAACAGCAGCGGTCTAGCTAGCTGGTGCCCTAGCAATGTTGAGGTTGTTACAGGCCTCAAGCTGAAGGATCGGAGCTAGCTTGCTCCATGACCCTGCACTGCTGCCTGCTGGAAGCTTCTTCAAGCTAGCTGCTTGCAACGTTAGCGTGTGTTTTCGTGATTTTCATAGGGGTCAGATTGACGTCAGGACTTAGAAGTTTCAGTGCCACCTCAAAGTTTGTTAGCCTGGTTCCCTTGATGGCTATGCCTCATCAGACGGTTGGTAGGATAGAGAGGAATTAACAACACAAGGACGGCCGGGCTGCATGAGCATCACACACTCATCTGATAGATGGTGTGCCGTGTGCGTGGTGACAAACCTGATTCTGAGATAGAGTGCAGTGTAGTAGATAGACAGCTATATTGAAAGCAGCTAGCAAGGATATCATATATGCATGGCTGGTGAAGTGGCACAGCACGGGTGAAAGCTACCAATCTCGATCATCAGCTCGCTCACTCTGCACGCACTTTGGCTACCTGCCTCTTATCTAGCAAGCTTAGCTAGCTAGGGAATGCTATATAGTAGTCCTTGCACGCTGCATGCATTGTCATTGTGATACCTAATAGCTCTATAAATTGGTGCAACTATTGGCTGCCCCATATCACTTCTTCTTGCAACCTCTGCATTGCATTGCATTAATAGAGAGAGATGGCCAGAGAAATGGAGAAGGCAAGGAAGGCCACTTCTTCCCCTAATAAGGTTAGATAGAGAAGAAGCAAAGATAGATGGCTTGATGTGTAGTATGCATCCATGCATGCTTGCTTGCTTGAGATATAGAGCTGCATGTCTCCAAGATCCTTTCTGCGTATTTGCTTCGTCCTAACCAAGATCAATCCACACTCTCAGCAAAGATCATATATGCTACTAGCTAGCTAGGAAATTTGGATTTCCGTATACAGTTTCTGTCAGGTTTTGTGTACGTTCACCGTACCTTGCATGCATGCATAGAGTAATTAAAAGAAATATATTTTGTTTTGAGTTTGAGTCATCTTTAGGTTCAAACATGCATGCTGCTTCTTACGTACATACGTTTTTTTTTATTTGAAACGTTACCTTGATAGATCAAGTGGAGTTGATGAGTGACATGCATGTTATCTTTGTTGCGTGCTTTTGGTCGTCCTTTAACTTACATGCATGGCTTTTGTCATCTTAGATATATAAGGTAGTTACTTTCAAATTAGTTAAAGGCTTCCTAGACAAGGAGTAAATAAAAGATTTTATTTTAAATTAACCAAGTGTCACTTTCTCGGCCCCGATCACTATTTCACTGTTGAGCTCTTTAATTTGCATACCTCTAGCTGGTACCGGTTACCATCATTAAGTTCAAGTAACAATAACAATATAAGGGGCTTGATGCATGTATTAACCAATATAATAGCTCCATATTATCACCATTTGAATTGTTCACCTAAATTTGTTTAATTTTATTTACATGACTAATGTTTACTCAGAGCTCAACGGTTCATAGTACTGGTCCCAAGAGCCCGGTGAGGAATGGAGTAGGATCACCGCCTCATAAGAAGAACACTACCGAGGTATGAGCTAGTAAATACATCCATGCATGAGTAGTGGCGGAGCCATTGCCCGACCACTCCGGGCAGGCGGCCTGGCTTATCGGTGAAGTTATAAAAGAAAAGTTCCTTTGTATCAAAGAAGAACATTATAATTTGCTAGTAAATATTTTTGCATAATGAGGGTCACCCGGGCTTCTAAAATTTTTTTGGCTTTGTCACTGTCCATGATCATGTAAGGCCACTTTTGTTAACAACATGTTCTTAGGATAATTATAACAGGATTTGGATAACAAATGCACCATGAGCGCGGTATTCTTCACCCACAAAAAACTAGTGAAGAGTGTTCTTTTTACAGTTCAGTGTTTGACGTTTCCACAACACAACAATAGTGTGTGTTTATTTTATTGTATCCACTACAAAAAGAAAAAAACTTTCCCAAATTAAACATGTCCAATAATAGTAATACATACATTTACTTTGATATATATAACTAAGGATAATTCCTAATAATGAAGAAACATGTGGAGCACACTGTTTTTTTTTCTTTACGCTATGTAAAGAAGTCAATGCCACAATATATTATAATGCATGGTGTCTTTATATCAAAATGTTAGCTCATCATATAAATCCGTCACTATTTCTTAAACTTATTTTCACAAAAGAATATAATTTAGTATTAGAGATGCTGTCCGAAAGTGACTTATGTGGTGGGAACTTTTGAAGAGCCCACTCTACTTTTTGTATCCAGATATGGTCAAACTGGGTAGGAACGGGATGGGACGGATATCATGCTTTTAGCAGTTTCGTTATGGTCCTTTTTTCTGTACAGTATATGGTCCACAGAATATAGGTGTAAATAAATTTTGGTGGAATATCCACATCATTATGATATGATTCCTTTCTTCAATGAACAACTAATAATAGTAGTAATAATAATAATAACAGTAGTAGTAGTAGTAATAGTAGTAATAATAATAGTAGTAATAATAATAGTAGCAGCAGCAGCAGCGGCCGCCGCCGTAGTAGCAGTAATCGTTGAATATGCCAGCATATTCAATAATCATAACCTCCATACCTATATATGTACCTAGTAGCTAGATCTCTAATTTTAATAATTTACTTGAGCAATAATAATATTCAAAAAAATCGCGATGGGGAATATAGCCCGTTTTTCATTAAGAAGAGAGAATTATATGACGCAGCTACAAGAGAGCCCTCATAGTACATATTACAAATCACCAAGCAAAACGTTAATATTCACAAAATTAAACTGGATATTTTATATAGCCACGTGGACGGAAAAATGAGCAGCAAAACGTTCGAAAAGGAGGTCATCAAGACATGTTGTCTCATGATGAGGGCAAACGCCGTTCATCATCAACTGCGCAAACCTCACCCAAGGTTCACCTAAAAGCTTCTATTTTTAACTTTAAAATCATTTGTATCTAAAAGAAAGTTGAAATTAATTTTAAAGGTTACTCTCTCTCTTTTTAATAGTCTCAGAGATCACCAAGACACGAACAGCCCCTGAGCTACAACAGGCTTCACACTGAGGAGAGAGCAATAAGGCGGGCTGGTTACAATTATCAGGTTAATTATATTACACAGATAATAGTTATTCATTCGATCTACCTCCAAATTTAAGTCAAATTAAGAAACTAACTTGTGAGGGGGCATGCATGCATGTGTGGCTTCCAGGTTGCAAGCAAGATAAATACCCAGGAAATCATTCGCAGATTTGAAGAGAAGCTTGCACAGGTACCTACTGTAAATTAAACACGAGGAGTTTCCGCATGCACGCTTTTTTTTTTTTTTGCACTGAAATGCTCATATATGCAGTTGATGGAGGAGCGCGAGATAAAGCTGATGAGGAAGGAGATGGTTCCCAAGGCCCAACTTATGCCAGCATTTGACAAGCCATTCCACCCACAAAGGCAATTATTATATATAATATGAGCATATATCATGAACCTCACATATGATTGAGCTCGTTAGAAGATAGATAGCTAGACATCATCAATAATTGGCTTGGTTCACCAAATCTTCATTAGGGCCCGTTCGGTTAGGCATTCCTGGCCTGGAACGGCTAGGAATATTTCCAGCCCATTCCGGACTGGAAACGAACGGGCCCTTAATAATCAGCTGAACCGAATATGAAGAACAGGAAAGTGCAAAATTTAAGTAACACTAAAACAAGACAGACGACATTACGCAAGTTCTATCGTCTATATGATACTAATAAAAACTAAAGGACACTACTGTACCACAACTCTAAATAATAATAATAATAATAATAATGTTATTAGAAGTTGCAAACATGCAGGGATGAGCAGGAACAAATAACTCTGCCATTTTGGCTGGTAGTTGTTCTAGGTACACAAATTAATTAGAGAATGATGCATTCAATATAATCCCAACTGAGGACAAATAGAATAAACACCAACTTTTCAAACTCTACAATGATCAGCAGGAATGGTTTATTTAGATGAATATTTTTTTTATTGTTAGCACTCCAGCATCAAAACGTTATGAACAACAATAATATATATATTTACGTACGTTGCTGATCTTTTCACAAAATATGCATATATGCCTTGTTAATTGAATATATATGAAACAATTCAAATTTGTCAATAATTGTACGTTGCATGCGTCCAATTCTTATTGCCTATGTATATATGTAACTTCAATTACTTTTGTTTTACTATATGGACGACGTGCAGGTCGTCGAGGCCTCTGACGGTGCCAAAGGAGCCAAGTTTCCTGAGGCTGAAATGCTGCATCGGTGGAGAGTTCCATCGCCATTTTTGCTACAATGGAGGAGCCAATAAGGCCATCAAGTAGTCCATATATACATACATGCAGAAATGCAGATGAGCCTACAATCAACTACAAGATGAAGTATTTTTGCCGCCGTTGCATAATGAAGCATGAGGCATGCATAAATAGCAGTCTGTCGTCCCACAAACCCAGCCTCTACGTACATGTACGCACGAATTTTCACGTAGCACACAGATGTGGTTGCTGATTATGTAAATTTCCCCGCCCAGCATGCCCCCTTTAACTTTCACTTTTTTATGTTTATTAATTTTTTATCTTTCCTTGTTAGCTATAGCTTGTTCATTGTAATTTGCCCCGATGGATCGATCCACCACTCAAGTCGTCTGCACTGAAAAGCTAGCTAGGAAACAAAAAGGGGGCATGAGGACGTTGCATGCGCCATGTATGTCTGTTGGCAGCAATAAAGCTTGCATTTAGTAGAGTGCCATGATATGAGCCTTGCCTTGTTGCATTGCCATGCATTGTGTGCACACATATGCACGTCACTTTCACGTAAGAAATTTGTCGCCCTTGGATCTGGAAACAGTTGAGATGAACGTGCCACGCATGCATGGTTTCCGACCGATCGAAATGATGCAATGCATGCATGTCGATCTCGATCATCTACCCGATCCATATATATACTGTATGCCGCATGCAGCTTCAGTCAATGATTACAAATGTATTCCTACTTCCTAGTCATCTCACGTACCTGACGAGTCCGGCCGGCCGGGTGCATGCAGCATGTCCAGCCAGCATGCATGGCACGGTACAGTTAAAGACTTACTCTGATCTGGATGATGAATGCCTGCGTACGTGCAGCTTGATGCAATTCATTCTTTTTCTCTGTGTTCAAGCATCATGTATGCACGCCAAGGCGCGCGTGGCACCGATGATTGCGTGTACGTGTCACATCCCTTTCACGGCGAAAGCTTGTTTATTCCAAATGTATGAAGTGGGTGAAACATGCTGACAGCGACTGCGAACGCAACAAAGCTCACCGTGCGTACGACATAGCCTAGCTCATCAGGGACAACGTCTCGTAATGTTTCTTATCCATTTATTTTGGTCGAGGACGACACACTCCCGCTATACCATGCATTTCGATTTTATTACTGCGATACGACGACTTTCCATACGGATAACACATAGTACCAAGTTATACACAAAGAGGAACAAAGGGCCTATGATTGGCCTGTTCGGCACATGAACCGGCCCAATAATAAGCTTACCATTTGAACGTATCATTATATACAAAGAAAAAAGTTTATTATATCTCTCTAAAATACTGTAGTGGTCTGGTTTTCGTTCCTTCTAAAACTACAAAACCAGACATCTTATCTCTTGAACTCTCAAAGTTAACTGTTCATATTACCTCCCTACCACGGTCGTTTAAAGTGGTTTTGTACTCTTTTTAGTTAAAAAATCGGCTAAATACTTGATAAGATTTTTAATAAAATGCCTCCAAACTTCTAAAATTTTGAAAAATACCTAGAGATAGAGATTGTGATACAGCAATTCCAAATAAGTTATATAAAATTCATGAAAGTATCTTAGAAGCTTCAAAAATATATTCAGCTCTAGAAAAATTGGAAAATATCTAGAAAATTCACAAAACATCCTAATCTATGTATTAACATGTTCTAAAAACTTTGCACATGAGAAAAGTATGAGATGCGGCCGGCATCAATGCAACATACATTAATTCTGAATGCACTCATGCTAGTTGTGTATTATGATTTTTGTTGCAAAATGTGCTCAAAATGCATTTAGACATCAATTAGAATGTCTTTTTCAATTTTTATATAATTAAATCATTTTTGAAGCATCTAGAGACATATTCATGAGGTCTAAATATTTATTTGGATTCTTCATGTCCCAATATATCAGTAGGATTTTTCCCAGATATTTAAAAAACTTAGAGACATTTTCTATGATTTAAAAATCTTATCAAATATTTACTGAATTTTTAGAGATATTTTCATGAGGTCTAAATATTTTATTTGGATTCTTCATATCCCTATATATGTCAAGCATTTTCTCAAAAATTTTAAAAAACATAGAGATATTTTTTATGTTTTAAAAAACTTACTAAATATTTACTAATTTTTTTTACTAAAAAGACAAAAACCACCTTCAAAACCACTTTGAACAAAACCAGGGAGATAATTTGAATGGTTGAGTTCAAGGGGCAAGACATCTAGTTTCAAAATTCGAGGAGGAAAATCCGATTATGACAATAGTTCAGAGAGGTGCAATAGATTTTTTTCCATCATACAACCAAATTCGGTTGTGCTACATGTATGCATGTCTTGTATCCTGTACCATGCTTCATCGTCCATTATCTATATTGTTTTCATTTAATGGTAATGAGCTGTCGTTTGAGACCCCAAACAGTACATGGCGTCCTTGGTCACTTCTATCTAGTCCCTATCACCAGTTTGAGTCTAGCTTCCTCATATCATCATTCTGAGATTCATCCACATGCATTCAATGTGCTAAGTTTTAAGTTCAAAATAAAAATTCTTAAAACAAAACTAGGAAATGAAACGTCGTCCCATCTGATTAAGGGACACTGAAAAACGTCTAAACAACTTCTGCAAACTCTTTAAAACCATGCGTAATGCCAGATATGATATGATGTCGGACAAAAAATCAGCTCCAATAGCCTCTAAAAGAGGATCTCCAATTTTAGCCATTCTCCCTTTTCCTTTTCCTTAGTACCTAGAGAAGGGGACCTAAGGCTGGCTCTCCATCACCACCTTCCCACGTGCCAAAGGCCCCTTTTCCTGCGTGCAACAACCCCTTCCCAAGCACCCCTGCCCAATACCTCTGTGACAGAGACGACCGCAAAGCCAATCCAGGCCAGGCAGGTGGCTAGTGACGATGCCTTATGTGAAGCAGAAACTCTAAAAGACTTGATCGGCTCTTCTCTCAGTGATGTGTCATCTGAGCTACCGGGATGCGTGAACTAATTGAAGATGTGATGAAGCATGTGGACGGTGTTTGTCCCGCACAAATGTGCCAATGGCAAGTGTGTGCCGCCATCTCCGGTGTTAACACATCTTATTTTCATGGTTGCTTAAGTCTTTAGTCTATAACTCATCAGTCTCTAGCCTTCAGTTTGCCCCTCGACTATCGTGATTGTATGTGTGCTCCTGCATTCCCGCGCAGACACACGCGCGTGGGTGGCATCAGCAGCCTGTTGTAGCAGGGATGCTCGCATTGACATGACGTGGCCAAGCCGCATTGCCAAACCACATAAACATCTCATTGCTCCTTGGTCGTGGGGTGGTACTATGTATTAGGTGGATTGAACTATGTTGAGTGTGGTGTAGCTCAGGTTGTTTGGTTTTTGTTTGTTTTTTGTTGTCTTGGTGTCTTTGTCAATCTTTGTTGAACATGCAAGAACCTTGTAGTGAGGAGCAAGTCTCACCTTAGTCTAATGCAGAGCTGAGTAGCCACTGGTGTTGAGATATTATTGCACTCGTAAGAAAGTCCGACCTCTTTACATTTGGTCATGTTTGACAGTTTCCTCCATAGTTTTTCCTCGTTTGGACGCGTCTGACACGTAAGAAACTCCCAACTCCCAACATAACGAAGATACATCAAATGCAATGTGACATAACATCAAATGGAACTTTATTTACTCCTCTGCTAATGTCTCCAAGAACAAGGGAGCATAGGACTAAAGTTTAACAACAAAGATCCTAGGGTATTTGGTTTAGGTGACTAAAAGAGACTAAAGCAATTAAAATAGACCAGAACACCCATATTCATTGCCTAGGATCTTTGCTGTTGTTGTAGTATTAAGGGGCAAGGGTGTCTTTTTTGGCCCTCTACATGTCTGTGTTTACCTTTGTTCAACTTTGTATTAATTATGTGGGTTAAACTCTGTTGAGCATGGTGTAGATCAGGTCCTTTGGTTATTTGGTAGCCTGTTTCTAGCCCCTGTTAGTTGGTTTTGCTTATAGGTTTCTTTTTTGTTCTCTTTCTGATTTGTAGTATGGTAAACATGCATAACGAAATTCATCCGATCAAGTCTCGTATCGATCTAATGCCTAAAGGAGGAGCCACATAGCTATTCAAATTTTACTGCACACGCAAGAAAGTCCGAGCATAATAAATCTGAACAG